AAGTTAGGCAAAAGTGAAATCAACTATTCACCATTTAGTTCTCAGGATTCCATCGAGAATCATGTTTTCCAAAAGAGTACATGTTTGTAAGTTAGGAAAAGAGTAAACTGTTTTTCATCGTTGATTTTATCTATTTTATTTATTTTTGAATAACATCCATAATTCAAAGGACCATTATTTGTTCTAAGATTAGATCTAATCAATTCTAATCTGAAGATGATAGTGCCCTCTGGTTTTCAGTGTCAAAAATAACACTGAAAAACAATCCCTTTTTATCATACATCTTTTTTTGATATGTTTTCTAGGAATTCCAGAGGATGCATGAGTCAAGCTTCTCGTCTTGGTTGTCTTGTTACAGTCTATTAAAGTCCAGTTTTTTTACAAGAACTAGTATGAAGTGAAGAGCTGCAGAACTCACTTAATTGCTTGATATATTAATGATAAATAAAAAAGTTTACTGGCCAAAAATACATTACCAAAAGCGTGCATTTTTATGACAGATAATTTAAAAGCAGTGTTGAAATATATAAGGTTGAAATTTGAACCACCTTCCTCTTCAGATCACGAGGGAATGTCTTGGTAATGCCCTTTCCTCGCCCCCTTCCCGTCACTGGTCGTTAAAGACGTTTTTGATTTACGATCTAAGACCGTTTATAAATAACATCTCATTATAATATATGAACCTAATAACACAGTCAAACAGCTCTTATATACAATATATAGAAAATATTTCGTGACATACTTTTACAGGAAATTAAAATATATCATTAGAACATTTTTAAATTGTCAACCATATCGCAATTCTTTGCTCTATATATGCTTCAAAATGTTCGTCGAAAGAACATCCGTGAATGGTGCTATAGAATCATACACACTTTTTCCATAGTTTACATTCCAGAACTTCTATGTCAAAACTTAATAAACATATCAGTATTATCTGTGACATCCCGTAAAATGTGCGTTCCGACCAGATTAGTGACTACTGGAATATATCGTTATTTCATAGAAAAGGTCTACATAGAAGCAACATGTTAGACATTTTCTTCTAGAATCGACCGCCGTCAATTCACACTAAACACCATACGTATAATATGAGTTTATAACGAATATCTTTGATCAACTTTTTTTCTAGAGCCACCCGAATATCTATTGGATGAAATAAATTCTAATGAAATGGAATTCATGTTAAAACAACAAGCAGAATTACGAGCGTATTATGATAGCTTTCCGGATATTGAAGATATTACAAACCGAAACAGATCAAATATTCAAAAAGCTGAAGAATTTACGCGATCTATAATATCTAAATTACCGTCAGGAAATGTGAGCGAAAGGGATACAGCATGTCATGTTTTATATAATTTACTTGGAAGGGATAATCAACAATGTCTGCTTTTTGATTCCACTCAAGGTATGAATCTGCACGATGCATCAGGAAATTTAGTTGATCTTAGCTTTCAAGATAGGTCATTTGTTATAAAATTAAATAATCTTGATGGACTCGGCAATTGAAAATATAAAAAGGATGAACACTATGATTTGAAACTTATTAAAACATTAGATCGTGTGATTGAACAGAAGAAGTCGGATCCAATTATCCAAGATGTACTTGAAAGATTATCTAAAGCACATAATATTGACAAAAAATACATTGTTCTAAAAATTGTGTACAATGGATCAAAGTGTATAGTTTACACGGTACTTGATTTAACAACTAATATAATTAAAACACTATCAGGTATTTCAAGTAAGTTAATGGCTCAATTCGAACAATTCAAAGCTGCAAAAATTCATCCACTATTATATCGCCCATCATTTGATATATCACATTTTGATGTTCGTGGGAATAAAACTTTTTCCAGCCAAATAGAGACATTTCAGGTTGGTCCATCTGGACGAAATAAATTGTATACTCAACCGGCTAGTTGGACAAGATATGGGTTGAAGGTGTTGGGCAAGTATCCAAATGACGACTGGCTACATCCATTTGGAAATCCTGGAAACTGGTACAGAGCTTATCATGGAACAGGAAATGCAACAGCTGCTGATTTCGGTAATCCTGATGTTTTGATAGATAAGCAATATGCAGCTGTTGATGCTGCTTCAAGTATTTTTGAAAAAGGATTTCGACCCGCTAGAACTGCTGTTCACAGAGTAGGTGTATACTATTCTCCAAACCCGATTTTTCCAGAAAATGGATTTGTTAGTAAAGTTGTATTAGATACAAAGCGTGGAAGAAAAGCTTTTAAATGTATGTTACAAGTGGCTGTGAATCCTGATGGTGTCAAATTTGCCACTAATGATATATGGGTCGTCGAATCTCCTAAGAATATTCGAACTTATGGAATACTTATTAAAGAAGCTTGACTCAAAATGATAAAATGTTTTGATTTATAATCAATGGATTATATTAAATGAATGACTTCTCCATTTTTTTCATTGTCTGAAACTTGCTTTTAAAATCTAGTTCTTCATGCAAACAAATAGTGTGGATAATAAAAACGAAAAAAAGTTTTTTGAATTTTATCTCTATTAGGAGAAAATTGAAAAAAATAATTTGCTTAAATCTTTGCCACTGGCTGTAGGTTGCATCAGATAGTGTTGATCTTTTTTATATCAAGTTCCTCATTCCACTTTGTGCAACCTGTACAGAAAATCTTATGACGTTGTTTTAGACAAAATTTTAAAAACTCAGAGGCACAACTCTTGCCATGGGTCAAGAAGATATTCATTTCGTATGGTTTCATGTTTTGCTCATTTTCGCGATGATTGCGACTATTCTTATTAATTGTTGATAATCTGCAGGTTTCGACACATTTCTTATACTGTAATGAAATGATGAAATTCAAATGTCGAAAAACTTTCATCGAACCATCACTATTTTCATATTCAATTTGAGCAAGATTTCGTAGATCTTTGGTTTTTTTTACTCAGCTTGTAAAGAATCAAGTGAAGATTTAATTTAAAAAAAAGAATCCACAATATTGACCAAAGTGAATAGGAGAAAACCGAAAGCTATTTAAAAAATACTTTCTTTTGCAACAGCTGCCATTTTGAGTTATTTTTACGGACTAAATTTGAATATCATTCAAACATGTACAAGTGATTCAAAGGCAATAAATAATTAAAAACATTCTGACACACCGCTAGAAAGCTCTTTCGATGCAAATTCCGATGTGAAACATTTGAAAATGTTTAGTTAATCATATGATGAAAAGAAATATTCTGATAAATTTCCAAACCAAGGTATCAGCATATGCCCATAACGATTTGATACTGCAATATATTTGTTCATATATTTTCTACATTAACAGTATTCAAGACAAAAAATTGATCCAATGTTGGATTCAGACAAATGTCAGCCATGATTAATTAACTTTCTGTCGTCAAAATGGCAGTCATGACTGTTTTTCTTACAATCACCTTGCTTTTAAAAGCACAAACTCATCTTGTAAAAGGAATATATTATCAAAAAAAAAAAATCAAGGTCTAAATGCGATGACATAGATAGGAGTAAGTACGAAAATGAGGATGAACAAGTCATCCTAATTGACACTCTGAATCTCATCTTTCCTTTCACTTCATCTACTACTCATACTCATGCATATTACTATTGTTGACCTATCATATAGAAAATTAATATGTTGTGTTCTTTGATTTTGACTCTTGTAATTATAAAGAAAAAATCGAATCTCAAATGTCGATTGCATCAGAAATTGAATCAATTGAAAATAAATCAATCGAATAGTACTATGAATTTCTCGGCATTTCAAAAGAGAAAACACAAACACATATGTTCAATACATGCTAGGTCATGTTGTAACAATGGACACTATGATTTCAACAGATCATTGAATATAATTTTTATTGAAAACAGGAATATTTGAAAGTTTGTTACTTAGTTATATCAAGTTATATCTGACAAAACAACGGAATCATATTTTACATATATACGGTATTTTTCTCTTAATTATGGCGCAGAAAAAAACATGTACTGTTTAACATGAAAAGGGCATCACATTGTTGTTTTTCTAATAGGTTACATCAATTGGTATATAATATTTGATTTTTGTCGATAAAATTTATTATTAAAAAAAAATGTTATCGAAAAATCCACCACTGAGTCAAGGTGATGGTTATGGTATTATTGTTGGTTTTGGAGCTCTATTTGCAATCGGTATGGTTGCAACAACATATTGTTTAAAACATTTTCATGGTGAAGCAACTGATTCAAGTGAAGGTTTTTCAACAGCTCATCGAACAGTTAAAACAGGTCTTATTGCTTCAGCTGTTGTTTCATCATGGACATGGGCTGCAACTTTATTACAATCAAGTTCAATCGCTTATTCTTACGGAGTTTCAGGTCCATTTTGGTATGCAAGTGGTGCAACAGTACAAATTGTTTTATTCTGTGTTATTGCTATTGAACTTAAACGTCGAGCACCATTTGCACATACATTTCTAGAAGTTGTTCATGCTCGATATGGTCCAATGGTTCATATTGTTTTTATTGTCTTTTGTATATGTACAAATATTCTTGTTACAGCAATGTTATTAACAGGTGGTTCAGCTGTTGTTCAATCATTGAGTGGTATGCATATTGCTGCTGCTTGTTTTCTTCTACCATTAGGAACCATTGTTTATACCATGTTCGGTGGTATAAAAGCAACATTCCTTACTGATTATGCACATACAGTAGTTGTTCTAATTATAATTCTATATTTTACATTTGTTACATATGCAACATCTCCATTACTTGGTTCAACTTCAAAAGTTTATGATTTACTTGTTAATGCTAGTCAATCACATCCAGTAGAAGGCAATGCTGAAGGATCTTATTTAACAATGAGGTCGAAAGAAGGTGCTATTTTTTTTATAATTAATATTATTGGAAATTTTGGAACTGTTTTTCTTGATAATGGTTACTATAATAAGGCTATTGCTGCTTCACCTGTTTCTGCTCTACCTGGTTATATTCTAGGTGGTATATCATGGTTTGCTGTTCCATTTCTTGCTGCAACTACAATGGGATTAGCTGCTGTGGCACTTGAAAGTAATCCAGCATTTCCTACATATCCAAATCGATTAAATCCAAATGATGTATTAGCTGGTTTAACATTACCAGCTGCTGCAATAGCAATTCTTGGAAGAAATGGTGCAATAGCGACATTAATCATGGTTTTTATGGCTGTTACAAGTGCTATGTCGGGTCAATTAATTGCTGTAAGTTCTATTGTTACTTATGATCTATATAAAACTTATTTCAATCGAGAAGCATCCGGAAAAAGATTAATCTATATTTCACATGTATCTGTTGTTATATTTGGTATTATTATGAGTGGTTTATCAACTGGTTTATATTATGTTAATATTGATATGGGTTATTTATATTTACTAATGGGTGTTATTATTTCAAGTGGCGTTATTCCAAGCGCCTTAACTTTACTTTGGAATCGACAAAGTAAATGGGCTGCTTGTCTTTCTCCACCACTTGGTATGATTTGCTCTATAATATCATGGTTAATTACAACTAAAGCTCAATATGGTTCAATAACTGTTCTAACAAGTGGATCGAATATTCCAATGTTAGTTGGAAATTTAGTTGCTCTATGTAGTCCAATTATATTCGTACCTATACTATCATTAATAGCACCTGATAAAGTATTATACGATTTTAATTCAATGAAAGAAATTAAAAGAGATAATGAAGAATCAAAAAATAGTTCAGATGTAAATGCTGATGATATGGAACGTGAAATAATTCTTCTTACACGTAATTCAAAAGTAGCACGTATTACAGCAGTCATACTTACTTTATGTCTAATTATTCTTTGGCCATGGCCTATGTTTGGAACATCTTATGTTTTTAGTAAACCTTTTTTTTCAAGTTGGATTATATTTGGTATTGTTTGGATGTTTATTTCATTTATTATCGTTGGTATTTATCCAGTGATTGAAAGTCATAAATCAATTGTATCTGTTTGTAAGAAAATGTATGCTAAAATAATGAAAAAAAATCAATATACGAACGATATTGAAGAGATGAATAATGAAAGAAAAATTGGTCATGAAAATTCATCGACAAATATTATTGAATTACAAGAATAATTAATCTTGTAGAAACCATTATTTTTCTTTTAATTAAAACTCGATTAATAAATAGAATAGCAATCTTCTTCTCTAACCATTATTGCTTATAAAATGAAATTAAACTATTTCAATTTCGAGAATTTCATTTTCTTGATAAAATATGTTGTTGTAGAAAAATGTTTATTGAATAAATTTATTGTAACTTGCTTACATTAGATATTAAGTCATTCGTCTTGATCGCTTGTTGTCAAGGATGTAGCTATGAGCGAATAATGGGTAGATGGATGTGTGAATCAGAGTAAACATATGTAAGGATATCAGTGAAAGTACACCTAAGGTTCGTACTCTCACTGACACCTGTCTACCAGATTTGTCCGATGAAAATATGTAAAACTTCAATGAAACATAACAGGAAAAACACGACGCAATATATTTTACATTAGATAATATTTTTTGTAAGTATTCACTACAAAACAAAATATTTTTATTGAATTCATGTCATAACTTTTTATTTTTATAAAGAAAATTAATAAATACACTAAATTCAACGAGATTATGAAGAAAAACATCTTGAAATTTCGATGACATTACAGTTATAGAAGAAGTTCAGAAATTGTATTTGTTAAACAATTGTTTTTCAAAGTCAATCAAATTTCTAGTAAAAGTTCATTAAAACTATTTTAATCTTTGGTTGACTTTAGCTTTAATATCAGGAGCTGCTTTATTTCAGAGTGGGCTTCTTCAATAATCTACTTTATTTTAGATACACTGTCGGATAAGTCAATATAATATCTATGTTGTGTATAGTTCAGCTACATACTCACCGTGTTCATTGTATGTTATATTAAGTATGATGTTTGAGGAAGCTTTTATATAAACTATGGTCAGTGCAGGACTTATAAGTACACGGTTAAAAATTGAATAAGCCGAGAACATAAGCAGATATTTTGAAACCAATGATTTTCGCAAAACATTAAAAAAACGTTATATGACGATGGTCAATCGTTCCGATGAAATTTTGATAACAAGTAAGAAAATTCGCCTAAGGATCAACAAAATTTCAAATTACTTAATCGAACAGATACATGATTTGATTTTGCTCAATAATAGAATGTATTAGATAATCATATGAAGACTATACGAAAAACTACTTCTTTTGCACTTTTCTCAACATACTTCATTCTAGAGAGCGGTGTTTTTTTTATCAATGGATATATACATAGTTCTTCAGATGAAGGAAAACAAATTTGTAGTTAAGCGTCAATGATAGGTGAACCCAGAGTTTTCCAGAAAATCATGTCTAGATATTTCTAATACTGGGCGTTACGATGATCCGAAAATTACAATAGTAAAACTTAAAAAACCCTTTCCCTCATCCTCAGTGGTAAGAAATTTTCTCTCCAAGGAAAGTAACCCGAGTTCTGCAACTTGACATCTGAAAATCTCGTAAGTTATGAAGGCTTGAGCTTTTTTCTATTAATATATTTTCATGAATGAAAAATTTTTCTTCATTTCTCTATGTTGTTCGATGTTTTTATATGTAAAACTTGTTTTCTTTTTTCGATTAAAAAACAATTATTCATTTTGTAACTTTTCTAGGCAAAGAACTGTGAATCATGATTCTCTATATGGTTTGCTTTCTCTTATTTCTCATGTTTGATGCAATTACATTTGTGTTCTTATTTTCTTCTTTTTTTTTTCTGCATTTTTGTCAACGTGTTCGATATAAAATGGGATGTGTTTTGGATGCCCAAACCAATATTTATTTACCAAAAGATCTTGCTACATTGACGACTGATTTTGAATCAGAATATTTTTATTATAATTATGCAACCAATACAGTTAATTTTAAATTATTAACAAAAAATTTATATCGTCCATATTTTAAACAAGTTTATCCAAGTACTATCAATGAATATGAACTAACTGATGATATGTTAAGTGTTTTAAAATCTTATACAGATAGCAAAACAAATCCATGTTTTATGAAAACAAATTTAAATTTATTAAGTGTTAATTTAAATGATATTGATTGGATTTATGTTAATAAATTACGTTCATTAATACGAGGTTTAGTTCAATCAAATATTAAATATATGTATTATCGAGGTTTAACATTAAGTGATACAGAAATTCAATATTATCTAGATAAACGAAATGAATATTATTATACAAATTCATTTACATCATTTACAATTGATCGTTTACTTATTTATTCTGGTAATGCTATATTAATATTACGAACAGATACTTGTAATGAAAAAGCAAAAATTAATCTAGCAAATATATGGAAATGGAGTGCATTTACTGATGAAAAAGAAGCATTGTTAGCTGTTGGAACAAAATTAAAAATTTTAAGTGTACACTATTTTGGTTGTAAATGGGAAATTGAAGTTGAACTAGCTGAAGATGATATAGAACAAGATAAAGATGTAGCTTAATTTTAAACTGATCTATTTCTTTGTGAATCATGAAAAAAAAAATGAATAAAAACAGCCGTACAACGAATGAAAAAATAAAAGTTTCGCTGCTTTCATTTAATCATTTATTTTCTTATCTGAAAAAAAAAACAATCAATATGAGTCTTTAGTCATTGATTCATACAATAAGAAAGAAAATGACGAGAACCAAATTCGAAATACTTGGCTTTTCAATTTCCGTAGAACAAATTTGTGATGTTGTCGAAACGTAAAAAAAAATTATGATTAATTGATATAACTATTTTGATATTAGGTGAGAGAATGAGGACGAAACATTTATTGATAAGTAGTTCTTAAACTTCTGTATTGTAAAAGTGATATTTCGTTGCATAGTAGATTTTGTACTCATGTTCTTTCCATCGTTAGAACTAATATTTTACAAAAATTTTCTTTATAGTTCAAAAACTAATAGTTTATTTAACTACTGTTGAAATTCAGACGTTTATGTTTGAATTAGGATGGCAAATTCAATTAGTAGAAACTTCAAATATGATTCAAAACGAAAAAATGACATTCTAAATTGACATTTGTTGAAACATTACGAGAGAAAGCATAGTATCAAGAATGAAATGAGTTTAAACTCATCATAAGTTAAAAATCAATATTAATTTCAGTTTTTGTTTACACTAGCTTTTGTTGATACAAGAAGTGGCATAAATTCAATTATTTTACTCAGCTCAAATCAGATCTTATAAGAGTATATGAAAATAAAGTTTTTCATAAAATTTTAACATTCTTAGAAAACTTTTAGTGAGCCCTATTATGAGACTCAATCAAAAAGTCGTACAAGAATTATAATTTACGAAAAATACAGTAATCACTATTAGAATATCAACCTGATTATATAAAATTATTGATTTAGTATCAAAACACATATTTCTAAGCCTACGAGAAGCTCATTTGTGGAACTTACGTGTATTTTCGAAGAAAATAATGAGTGGAAGTTTAAATCAAGATTTTTACATCTCCTTCTTCATCTTAAGCTCTGGCAACTAGGTAATGGGAAATCAAAGATTATTGGATAGATTTCTTCTAGCAATGGGAAAAGATATGTAACTATAATAAAAGTGCTTAGATCACTGTGGAACTTCGTAGATTTGAACTATTTTAAATATTTAGAGTCTGGGTTTTAATTCAATGTAAGGATCTTATTGTAGGTGTCAATCAGTAATGCGATGGTATGATACATCTAGTTAAAATTTTATCGAAAGCAAGGATGATCTGCTCGAAAGCTTACTGAACGATTAAATCAATGTGTATCGCAGGTCCCTATGTTAGTTGAACAGACAAAACGAAGAGTACATTGATATTTATCCTTTCCTATAGCGTACATTGTATTTGTTAACATTAGAAGAAAAGAGATTACTTATTCAAGATTATGTGACAATATAAATTAGTTTTTATAGTATAACGTTGTTAAATGAATGAAAAAAAATTGTTAGAATAGCAATTATAAATGCGAATATTTTCGAAATGATAAAATTTTAAAGTGTACTTATCAACTATAAAAATTGCTATAATTCTGATTTATTCATTTATTTGACTTGTTTTTAAAAGAAATTATTTAAAATTTTACAGACAAAGTATACATCAATTTAGACAAATGTGTAACACTATAAATTGATACATCTGAATAAAAATACGAGAAGAAAAACAAAACAAATTTCATAAATACAGCATAGTAGTGCAATGATAAAGTCTGGCATTACTACATGATCGAATATGGGCACTAGTGAGTAAAAAGAAGTATGACTGAGTCTGTAGGCATAACAGCATACTTGTCAACTTTAAGGATACAGTTTGAAGGGTATAAATGTTATTTTATAGATCTAAGACGTATATCTTAAGCAAATAATTACTTAAGTGAAAGCATAATATATAACCAAATCAAATTATGCAATGATCGATTCAAATATTATTTTCATATGCATATGAATGGTATTAAATGTTGATATATGGTTTAAAAATAAACTGAATTATACGCTTAAATAATTTCTGGAGAATAGTACTCTAAGCTGTAATGATTGATTTTTATTTTAAATATAAAGTGCTTTCCTATTGTTTATTAAAAATGAATATTAAATGTACACCTTTAATATTTTGAAATCTAATTCTTCATGTCTTTAATTAATATTTATAAAATCAATTGATACGAATAGCATTCAGATACATTTTCTATCTGAAGAATACTTTTATTTATTAAAACAAAATTTCAAAAGATCATAAAATAAAATTAAATCAAAAATATATTAGAATACATAAGAAAAAATATTTTATTAACAATGTTAAAAAGTTTTCTCTTCTTGTGATATTTTATTCAACAAAAGATTAAGTGTTTTTTCTATACTTATCATTGTATGATTTATATCAACAAGATTTTCATCAATTTTATCTACTTTTGATTTCATTATTGTTAATTGTTCTGCATTTTCTTCTGTTTTACTATTTGTTTCTCGTTGTATCATAATTATTTCTTGTAATCCAATACAATTATCAATTAATTTTCCTTGTTTTTGTTTTAATTTTTGAATAAAACGTATCGATCGAAATAATTTTTGCTGTACACGAATATATTCGGCCGATGTACATTGATGCTTTCGTTTTAAATACCAAACTTTTATTACAAATTTTATTATATTAGCTGCTTGATTATTACGTTTTTTCGCCAATTCAATATTTAATACAAAATTATGCACGTATTTTTCTGATCGAGTTAATTTAAGTTTATCTGCTAGAACAGATATGAGAAGAGCAGTAGACAAAACACCAATTAAACCAATTATACTCGCAATACCTAAGAGTGCAAAAACTAAAATAATATCATTAACATTCTGACTTACATCGTCCACAATAAGTCGATGGTGTTATATCTCCATAACCTATAAACAAAGTTTTTTTGAAAACCAGTTTTTTTTGTTTCAAAACACTTACCAATAGTGGTAAACGTAACAATCAATAACCACATTGAATCAAGAATAGATAAATGTTCTGCTATTGTAATATAATTACATGCTCGTAATGACCAACTACCAATAAAAAAGAGAAGTCCACAAAATGATAATAAACAACGAGTTGGCCATTGCTCAAGATAAATTTTAATAAGAAAGAAAATATCCATTGATACTTTATTAAGATAACCCAATGATTGTGCTGATGCATCACGAAATAAAAAAGAATGAAATAAAATAAAACGAAATACCAAATAAAAGCGAGCAAACACTATTTGGAAATTAAATTTTGTATGTTTTAGAAAAAGAATAATTACACTTACTCAATAAACCAAGTGGAACATCAATATTTATATGAGATGGAGACATAGGTGTTGTTTTCAATGAATCAGTTATTGTTGCATTATCATGGCGTAAATTCGAATTTAAAGGAAAAGACCGAGGAAAAGGGTGTATAAAACAAATGAAGACTTCAAATAGAATTGAAATTTTTTTCCTGTTTGTTAAACTAATACACCAATTATTCATTGCATTATTAACAGAATAGAGTTTTAAATCTAAACAATGGTAATAAAATACAAGACCAACAAGAATAATTGTTGTAATTGTAATTATTAATTTAATAATCCAACTAATCATTATACCTTTTTCATTTAAACTCATAAATTTAATCTCATTTTCGATAATCATTAAAAGAACACCCAAAAGACCAAGAAAACACATGATATCAGTTATTTTACAACTAAAATATAGAAGAAATTTTCAAAAAAATATAATAAAACAGAAAAATTTTCCTACAGTTGATCGTAAATTATTTTTCTTCGTCGTAATCGACGACTAACATCGGCCATTGAATTATTGCTTGTCAACTTTCGGTTTTTAATTAATAATTCATTCAGTTCATCTTTATTCTTTATTGATGAAACAGTCGGTATCGAATTAGGAACCATTACAATGGTCGTCAATGATGATAATACGGCATCTTGTAGTTCAGTACATGACTGCTCAGGTGCAAGAGGATTGGTCAATAGTGGCCGTAGATTTTCGAAGGATACCATCTAATACAATAATTAAATCGAGTCTATTGGGTTTCTGTACTTGTTGACATATACCAAAGAATCTAACAAGAAATAAAGATATTTCATTACAAGTAATTTCAGTACCTATCGAAAATTATGCCAACAATGAGAATGATAATATATGAGAAATCAAATGATAAAAACTACTGCGTATTACAATAAAATATAGAAGTCCTAATACTTTCAAGATACTCTTATTCATATTAAAATGTAGGGATTAAAATTATATCGACAAATTTCCTTCATTCTTTTAATGTTTTTATACGAAAAAATTTATTGACCTAGACATTCGAATAAAAACAAATCGACAGGTATTCATTCTATAAATAGACATAAACATGCAAAGAACACGTACGCGAAATATTAATAATCACACATGACGAAAAATTACTAATATTATATCGTCCCTTGTATTTAGAAAAAAGAATTCATATAAACTGATGTTTTTAGAAGACGACGTATGTGTTATTTTTTAATTTAAAGTAAGAGGGAATAATTCAGCTTGACGTTTTTTGTAACTGTATTTTTCGATAGAAATCATAGTTCATTTGACAATGATTTGCAATTTCTATGACGGACTTTTTTTTACAATATCCATGTGAACACTAATCACAAAATAGAAGCAATTAAATGCAGCTTTGTTTAAATCATTCATAGACGGGTTCCAAACGAGTCTAGACGCGAACGAAATTACGAAATCAGTCAGACATGTTTTGACAAAAAAAAAGTATCTACATGACTAGTATCGGAAGTTTTCACCGAAGCCGCTTTATATGGTACCTGTCAATTCATAAGAAGAGTAATTATGGTGATGCTACTTAGTATTTGTAACTCATGATACACGTTATTATTTCTTTTGAACGTTTACCACATGCATATTTCGTGAAATTTTAAAAAAAAAGTAATCATACCAATGAAAATACCAATTTATTGATAAAGTTGATTCAATTTTTCGGAAACTTTGAATGCCAACTTTTTTTCAAGTCTTAAAATTTTTATGGAGAAAATAAACTCTAAAACGATTTTCTTCTCAATTAATTTCAATTCTTTCCTTCTCTTCGTTGCTCGATAGACTGTTGATCAACGATCGAATTTTAATACCTCTCTCTTTCATGCCTCATTGATATTATTTTTTTTTAATCGTTCTCTATTTAACTTTATTAGATATGCTTCATTGAATTAAGGATCGATAAAATTTCAAAAGACATGTATGAATTTTTTTGAATATGTAAATAAAAAACACAATGCTAGTTTTTTGGCACCTGTATTTCAGTGGAGATGAATCTATTTAGAATAATTTGTTGTCAATTGGTCTAAAAGATGTGCCAAAAGTCTAGCACGAAAATAAATTCTTAGAACTTCTTTATTTATTTCATATAGTAGCCGTGAACGTGCAGTTTTTATTGACATGGATCAACATTGCTAATAATGTTGCCGGGTATCAATTTGATGACAATACAAAAAGTCAGATTTGTCAATCTTCATAAAAAAAACTGCATATGGTTTGTTGTTTCATCATGTCCAAGTTTGCTGTATTTTTATGAATATTTTTTTGATGCATATATACATAAAACAGTAATTCATTAATAATATTCGCTGATATGTCGCAAAATATATTAATAAAATAGATTGGGTAATTGAAAAGCCAAAATATAGCAAAATTAAAAATGAAAAGAAAATGAATGATACGCAATTCTTTTGATGAAGCTTGAAAAAACTCTCTTTGTATATATTCAGTCAAAAGTGATACTTTGCAACATTATTTACAAAGTTAACTGATGTCAATAAAAATTTCGCATTCATGGCTACCACATGAAATAACATTATTTGATTAGTTTTAATAAATACAGAAGTTATAGGAGTTTATTTTAATGCTAGACTTTTGGAACATTCTATACAGTAATGTGTATGTTGTCTCGGGGCTATTTTAAACGAAAATAAATATTTATTATACTTTTGTTTGCCATAGTAATAGTCATATTAGTTTCGTTTGATATATTAAGGATGAAGAATTTCTAATGAAGCTGAAGAACATGTTAGAACACGAGATGTTGTGAAATTATTTTTGCTTGAAGAAATTTGATCAAACTTTTGACAAATGTTTGCTTTTTTTATTTAAAATTTATGAATTAGTCGTAAAAAAGCATGTATATAAATCGATGTTATGAATTGCAATACGGTCATTCTTACAAACTATTGATGACGAGAATATATGAAAATACAATCTTTCGTAATTTGCTCGACATGAAATTTGAGCGCGTTTGAATGTTTTAGTTTTTGTTTCATCAAACATATTCCCTATGTTTAACCGACTTTTTGTGACCGATAGTAAATACAGAATGAAATAATTTGTGTCAATCCAATCGCTATTTATTGATATACATTTTATTAATATTTATGCTGGATAGCTAAATAAAAAAATCTTGCTTGTCATTAAATGAATTCAAAACTATTGATATTCCCCTACACTATCAAAATATTGATCGCATGCTATCGATCTAATACGAAAAGTAGTTATAGCAATTAATAATACCTTTTCAAGTTTTGTATGATACTTTCATATAGCGAGGAAATTATTTTTCTGATTTGTCATAAGAGGATTAAAACTTGAAATTTCAATTGAATATAACCTGCGAATTATAAATATTTGCTTAAGGAAAGTTGAAACGATCGTAATATGTCGGTTAGAATATTCAATTGTAAACGTCAACCCTAACGTATTCACCCCCATCGCGAAACCACAACCACAGCTACACTCAAAAATCATATCTTCAATAGAAGAAAAAAGAAAACAGAATGATGACTTCTATTTTCCTATTTTTCATTTAATATTAAATACCAATAAATCTGAGAGGAAAGAAAAAAAACGCATACCTAAATAGGCATCCGCATAGTCAACAGAAAAAGAAAGAGAACAAAGGTAGTGAAGTCATATTATGTCATTAAAAATGTGAAGCACATGTTTTGTTGTGTTTTATTGAGAAAAAAAACTCCCACTAGAAACATAAAATAAAAAGAAGCATTATTCTTCAAATGGTTACGACATTCTCAACATCTTTATGTGATGCTATCGATCGAAAAGATCCTCCAAGTAAGATTTCACGATTGCTTGAGGAAGGTATCGATTGTAATTTATCGCGTTTTGATCCGAAACATTTAAAGTTTATCTCACCTATTCAGTTGGCTGCTGAAAGACAAACTTGCAAATATGGTACACTTCATCTTCTCTATCAAAAGCGTAATAGCCCAACCAAAAAACAACTTCAAAAATATTTGGCATTCTTTTGCAATCATTATCAATTATCGAACGACGAAGAAAATGAATTGTTTCTAGAATTCACTGTTTGTCGTCTTCTTCATAATCGTATTTGTCGATATCCATCAAAAGAAATGCGTATTATAATTGAAGGCCTTTTAGGTCATGATAGAGCCGAATTTCGTGGAGAAGGTTTGAACATTGGATCAACAAATGATCTTTTTCTGCAAGTGCGTATCTATGCTCTTTTTCAATGGTTAGTCGACATGAAAACTAATGTTTTCATGATATCCGACTCTGAAACATTCACTATTATTGAAAATGAACTTTTACACAATTTAGAAGCATACTATCTTCTTCACGATATTCAGCATATTCCTGTACGGATGAGTGAAAGTATGGATTACCAAGATTTGAAGGAGATAGAATCATCTCTACAATTACTCAAATTCTATGAAAGTATTGCGAAAAACGTCATAAATAAAATCAAGCAACTTCAACCTCAACAAGAATATTTTATTCCAACTGGTTGGCGTCATCATGCTGTCTGTGTTTCATTTCGACGAATTGATCAGACTCACATCAGTATTCGTGTTGACAATCCTAGCCGATCAAATCCCTCAAATATGCATAAAACTGATTCTGTCACAACTAAAATTCATCTAATTCGACCCAAAGTGCTGGGTCGATTGCATCTTGACAAGTTACATGAGAATATCAATTATATCGTATCACTAATCGATAGTGTGAAACGAAATTTAACACCACAAGTTGCAATTCCCTTGATATATGATTCTAATAGAAACATTAAACATCTTGATCGAAGACATGAAGAATATGTACCGAATATTATTGAACAAGCAGATGATAATTGTGTTGTCAAATGTTTTGAGCCCGGTTTACGAATACGCTTCGGTGAACAACATAAGAAACTTTGTGAAAAACTAATATTTCATCATGAAATAAGTGTTGCCAATAAACTAATCAAGCGATGTGAAATGGACTTCGAATGTTGTGCCAGTGGTTCTTCAGATCGATTCATACGATTTGCTAAATTAGATGAAATCAAGAAACTAGCACTCACGCCAAATTCTAGTCTACAAGAGAAAATGAAAATGAGCTATAAAAAACATTGTCGATTACTTTCGAATATTATCAACGAAGAATGTTCACGTCCATTAAAAGACAGATTCATTCATTTACTATTCAAAGAAGAAAAAGATACAGACATTGAACTCGAAAATCTCTTTAGAGAACCCCGTGTTCTTGTAATTGGCGAAGCCGGTTCTGGTAAGACAACAGTCTGCCAATATGCAGCATATTCTTGGGCTTGTGAAGAACTATGGGAAAGTCAATTCCATTGGTTGTTCTATATTAGAATGCGTAATTTAAATTCGAAGCTCTATCCACCACAACCCAACAACTATTCTTTGATTGATATTATTGTGAAAGAATGTTTTCGAGGATGCACACTTTCCAATTTTGAAAAAAATAACTTAGAATATGCAATCACATATTCATCGAATATAGTGTGGATTCTGGATGGATGTGATGAACGAACTATTCCAAATCATTTATTTGCGATTGAACAAGAACTATTAGATAAACAAAATCTTCTTCTGACATCTCGACCCTACGGAACAAACAAGTGCCACTACGATATCAAAGTTCATATTCAAACTTTTACAAATGACAATATAGAAAAATATATAAAAAAATACTTTTCGACATTCAAACGTAGCGCCGCCAAAGAATGTTGGTCATTCATTCGTTATTCAGATCGATTGAAAAAAACAGCACGTATTCCTGTATATCTTGAATTAATTTGTATTTTATGGGATAGTGGAAAAGTCGATCTTAATATTGGAATGACAACTGGAGAACTCTATGAAAAAATATGTGAATATCTCTTACGACGATATTTACTGAAATTCCATGGTCTGTGCACATCTGCTCTTGCTGGACATGATATCTTTCAACATTCAAGTACTAAAGTATTTACCTATTTAGAATATCTAGCATTCTTAGCAACGAAATCGCATACATTTTCTATTAGTGGTCATCAAATTTCGAATGTAGCAGGTGCATTATTTCTTTCATTGCTTCAACTTGGTTTACTTGAACAAAGATCGCGAGATCATGTTCCTGTACTCGTCGAAAATATCTATTATTTTATTCATCGTAGTTTTCAAGAATATCTCTGTGCTCGCTATATGAGACGAGCATTGACATCACTCACTACACAAGAGCAAACAGAAGTAATGAAATTCATTACTGAGGAAAAATATAATCGTAATATGCGAGATACATTTGAGTACTTCTTCAATTTGGATCGTACAAGTTCATGTACCGAGAAATTTTGGTCAGCCGTTGATTGTGAACCACGTGATTTAATTGGACTTCGACATTTTTCTCGTATTATGGCATGGTTTCCTTATGGAAGTTGTGAATTTGCTTTTGATGATGAAAATAAGATTAATGAGAGAACCATCAATGTCATACAAGAATGGATTTTGAAGAAAGATCGTCGACCGCATGATTTTGCCAATGCCTATCTGTTTGAATGGTTTGCCGATGTGATTGACAAACAAGTCTGGTTGCAAGCGTGGAAAAATGATTTATTCGAAGAAACTTTATCGAATCGACATTATTTCATGTCTGACTTATGGTCAGAGACGAATATCGTTGAGCTCAAAAATATCTATGACCAAATTCCAAAAGATGTGCATGCTCATTATCGTTTAATTCAGAATGGACCCACCAAAAGCAATCTCAGATCTTTAAAGATCGATACCGATTTATTCACTCCGCCACTTTTTGAGAAACAAAGCAAAATACAGGAATTCTTAAAGGAAACTCAAGATAAAGCCAAACGACACGAATCAATTACGAAACTAGAAGAATTTCAAACAATTTTACAGAATTATTCTTCTTATGCCAAGTTGAATCGTCAAACAACGCTATGTGATCAAGCCGTATGGCCGCTAAGAATTGCTTCATCTGCTTTAGTTAATATTAATGATGAAACTTTAAAACTTATTTTACAATTGTCTCAACAGAATGCACTCTTTTATCGTGATTTTAACTTACCCATCATTCCTTTTCTTGAATTGTACGGAAAATCAGTTGGTTTCAATGAAGAAACTCTTCGTTCACTCATCGTATCGATTGCACTTTCCAGCAGTTGTATTGTCATGGCATCACCTGAACAAACAACTTCAATTCGAGTTCATGAGAATGAAACGTTTGTAAACATCGAATTGGGTCAACATCGTCGATTGGCATTAATGCTCGAATTCTATGAAATTCGACGTAACTACGGATATTCTACGTCTTTTTGCTAAATCAAATGACATACTTTTCTATCCCAAACTACTAGAGAATACCTTTGAGAAGAGTAATTTCTTTTCCCAGCAATAAAACCGTACCTTTTTCAACACATATATATGCTGTACGGTTTCTTTTCTACTTACCAATGATGTCATATGTATAATACTCTACAGTAATCGAATTCTAAAATTATCTCCAATTTTTTTCTATCAAGATCCAGCAGAAAACCTAAGTCTGCAAATCATATTCTTAGAATACTAATAAGATATAAACAAGAATTGGCATTATTCTAGAAGTTTTCTTAAAATAAACTAATATGAAGACTCATGATGGTGTGATGTGGTTAAAAAGGGTGGATGTGGGTGTGGGTTGTGTGTGTAAATGAAAAGAAGACCAATCCACTCACATCACACTGAAATCTAAAGAATAGAAAAAATACCTTGTAATGATTGTGAAAAAATGATTGATAAAATTTCTAAAGGACTTGGTGAAGTGATAAAACGTCGTGTAGAACAGATAAGTAATAGCTAAATCATATTTTTATGTAATCAAAGTAATGTATACATTTATAAACAAAAGTTCTTTCGTTTTTTTTTTCATAAAATACTTTATTGATTCATTCCGAAAAATTTATCATCAGCTTCTTATGTTTAAATTTTTATTATTACAAGGAAAGATACCATCCAGTGACGCGTCATTTGAAAGACGTACACGAATACTCAAACATCATATGAAAAAATTCGTTTCAAGATTATTTCTTGTTTGCATAAGAAATAATTTTTGCTATAAGCTTCAAAACTTATAAAACATCCTGTATGGACTCAAAAGCTTTTAATCATCTGGAGACCTTTCTGAATAAGTAGCAACCCTAAGAGTCTTAAAAAGTCGTCGAAGTATTGAACACTAAATACTTTATTTTTAGCATCGGACTTGATAATTAAGGACTTATACAATCAATAAATATCTATAGAAAATGAAAAATTCCAGATAAAAAATAGAGTAGGTGTTCATCTTCTAGATTTTTGTGCCCATAAGAATAACTTCTTTCAAAAACAAAATCTTCGTATTATCTTTGAGCTCTTCAAAGAATGAGGATGACATTGACTTGTTTATTGTGCTGCATACGTTAAAGAATTAAATAAAACGATAGAAGAAATTCTTTAATATCAGATAGAGCAAAATTTGTGTCTAGTTTTATGATATTTGTAAGATTCTTTTATTTTTGTCCATTTTGTATCTGCATTGTAATTTTCTGTTTATTTAAATGATCTCTCGTTACTACAGTTCGCCATATTCGTATATTTTATTGACAACTTGTTTTGATGTTTATATATTATGTGATAATACACAATAGTCACATACAAATACATTAATTCATACAAAAATACCAAAACTGTTGAGATTCCTCTTTATTGAAGAACAGTATTGAGGTTTATTAGCATAGTCGATTAAATTTTGAATTTGAAAACAAACTTTAATTATTTAGACATTTTGAAATATGAGTATAGCTACTATCTGAATTTTCTTATTCGGTTTTGCATTAAACGGTCTTTTGCGTTTGTGAATTATTTATACGTGTGTCTATAGCTTCGATTAGTTTTATTTACGATTTTGATAGTACTTATTATATCTTTTATCGGTTTAATTCAATTTCGATGGATTGATAGATTTGTTAATTGATTTTCATAATGACGAATAATTAAAATAGTTGAAGTCTATTTCAACAAAAGGAAAAATGATAATTCAATTTAAAAAAAAATCTAACCGTGAAAAAAGTTTTATTTTATATTGATAAACGTATTGTGATCTCAAATGAGTTTGAAAGATTTGGCTAACATCATTTGCGGATCAATTTTTGATATCGATATGTATTCAAGGTTTTTCTTCTTCATTGACGATTACATGATTCAAATTTTCATAGTTCTTTTCCAAGCAAAATAGACATTGACTAGATATTGCATTGGTATTTTTTTTTAATCATGAAAAGCAAAAAAAATAGATCACGTTGCCCCTTTTCATTACATTCTCCGAATTTAGATGTATGTGTAATTCCAAGGTTATATATTCATCAGCATGATCTACTTTATTTTGATTGAATTTATTCTTAGGAAAGAAAATTCTAGGCAACATTTTCATCATGCATACAAAATTATATTGAATTTACATAATTAAAAACTGCCATCCAATTGAAAATTTATTCAATCTTTTCGTTTGAAAGAAACACAAACGAATCTTCGAATATTGTTTTTTTTCAATTTTACACGAGTCAGTCAAGATAGATATGTCTATCATAATGATATAAAAGCTAATTTTCTTATGATCAATAATAAATCTATAAAGATAAATGATTAAGATTGCCTTTTGTAATGGTTATTCTCTAGAAATAAATCGAGTCCCTCATTAAGAAAGAATACAAAGTAAATGAAACAGAAATTTTTAATCAAACTATTTTAAGGGGG